CTCATTTCGATTTTTCATTTATATCGCTTACTGGCTGTAGCTCTAATAACGCATATTAATTCCCCCAAGAGCCTGACGATGACCATAACACGTTAACGACAACGATGTTGATGAGAAGAGGCCGTGGTTTCACCCACCCACCCTGTCCACCCATTATTCTGTTTCCCGCCCAACCCCTTTCGGCCTGCCCCTTAAAGCGGCCTTCTGAAAGAGACATAATTAATTCACATTAACATACTTTCGAAACTAATCGTGTACTAAATCTATCATTTTTTTTAACGGCGTATATAAAATTGGTTAGAATTCAATACACTTGATACGAATGATTTTTAAAAACTTGAAGAGATTGAAGATTTTTAAATAAATTTAGAAAAAATTGTAAAGCTAACTTACCATATTTAGACGGGGCTGCTCAGACGCCATACATATTATGGAGTCGTTCACTGAGCTGTGGTGGGAATTGATCTGAAAATCGTTTCCAATTTTCCGCACCAACTTGATTTTTAAATCCATGTAATATCTATATATACAGTAACAGATTTTTTATTATCATTAATTGGAATAATCATAATATAGCTAATGATATTCTAATTTACCTTCTGGAACATGCCTTTAAGATCTTCTCTAGGCGTTACCCAAGATGCAACAGCGTCGCAAAAGAAGATAAAATCTTGCACAACTCCTGCTGGATTTACAGTGATCATTTGACACATACCTCTGAATGCTGAATCCTTTTCCTCATTATCTCTTATGCTTCTCAAAGAAGTACACCTAATAAAATACATGTACAAATTATAAAACGAATGATGCTAATAATTTAAGAAGGTATATTCATCATAATTGAAAATTGTATTCCAGATTATATTAATATTTCTTTTATATTAATTCATTTGGATAAATTTATTATTTATTCGAATTATTACTCCAGCGATAAATTTACCTTCTTTTTAATTAGAATATTTACATTGATAGAGTATGATTATGGTAAAATATTATAACTAATCACTTGACATAATATTCATTCCCACAAGTTATGTAAGTTATATGTGAATAAATTTTCGTAGAACAATTAGTGTGGCAGAATTGTTGGGTTTTTGAAACCAGTTCTATATTGTAATCTCCTAACAAATATTACCTTTTCGTATCTTCATTTTTGAATTTGCTGGTATTAAAAATTAACAATTAAAAATCCAAACTGAAATAAAAATAAAAACTTTATCTAATCTAATATATATGATAGTTCCTGCAGATTTTTTGTAATCTTGTATTTCTTTGTAAATATTTAAATATTTAACCTAATCCAATAGAAATTTTTTTAACGTTATGGTAATTATTATTATTAATATTTTGATATGATTGGCATCATATTAATACAATTTTATTATTAAGGCGTGGTTTACATTTGGCATAATCTTTTTAATTTTGAACATTTGAATATTGCAAAGTAAAGAAATATATTAGCAATAGTTGTGATAGCAAGAATATAACTAAAATGTATTTGAAAATGTTGATATTAAATTAATTAACATGCAAAAGGACATTTTTGATTGAAACTACCTGTACACAGTGAAAAGTAAGAAAAGAAAGATATATGTTTCTATTTAAATGCAAGGCGATAATACATAGACTAAAATATTACACAGACCTAAAAACGTGACAAATGTAAACCTACCCTAGTTTCAAACTGCAATAATTAAGAGCCTATAACATACTTGCATGGTGGCAGAAAACCAAGGTAAATATACAAAGTAAATGTAAAAATTATTAATACTGCAAAAAACCATTGGGCAAGTTAAATATTATACTTAGGATAAATTAGGCCCCTATTAATCAAGAAAACATATAATATTCGTTCTATAATATAAAAATAAAATCTTTCATAAAAATTCTTGCACAAAAGTTCTTAGCAGCCCCTGATGCAATGTACTAAAGAATCGGGAATAATATTTAATAAAGTGCTAATAAAAATAGAAGATAATATAATTAATAGAATATAATAATAAAGAAATTTACACACCACTGTCGGACAAACTGCTGTAACATGGGGGCGACGTCGTGGGGACACACATAACCTAGGCGACCGATCGTTATGGCTACGGTTTCATTTCATTTCGGTAAGTAGACAAGTGAAGTGTAGTGAAGTGACCGGAAACACAAACAATAAGACAAACTGATAGCGAACCAACGATCAACTCAGGCGAATATTTTGTCGTTTATAAATTTCAATTTGTAATTAATCATTTAATCAATAATAATCAATTTAATATTAACAATTTATAAAGACAGTGGGAACAAAGGTAAACATATGAAATACCGACAATGAACATAGGCAATATCGTGCTATTGTAGCTGCTGAAACAATAATAAAAATTAGATAGCAGCGTGCGAGCCCATGATTTGAAAAAATAGATATGAATATGATTTCTACCAATAAATGTCAATATAAATAAGAATAACCAAGAAAATAAAAATAAAACTTTTTCTCGTGAGTTTGAAAGCCAATTTAAAATACCGTCGAAATAATATTTGGGGCTTAGATGCAAGCATAATATATTGAATTGCAGTATACTTCTCATGGCAATACAGCCATATAAAGCCTGCAGGCAATCGCACACCACTAAGTCAGATCCAATATACAAATACTAATAATGTAACCCGCTCATAAAACGTGCAAATATGGTCGTATAAAACGATCCAAAGTCGTCAGTTTGTGTGATTATTACCTTCAATAAAATCATTTACAAAAAATGCACCTAAACTTAAATGCCACCGAATGCTGAATCTAATGTGGGGAATTTTCTTTGTATATTTGGGAGACTTCTCATTAAATCGTCGTTATCAAATATCCTAATTGCGTGAAAAGGTTTATATAATATTTGTAATATATAAATTATATGACACTACAATGCCTTAAATGAAAAGTTTCCCCTTATGTGCAGAGCATACTTCTAAGAAAAGGTATTACTTCTACTAAATATAAGTGAAACAGTAATAATGTATTATATTATGATGTGTTATATTATTATAGTATTTAAAAAAAAAAAAAAGATTTTTACTATGCATTATCTTCTACCATTTAAAAGTATGCTCCATATACGATACTGTGTAGAAGAAACTATATATTCAAAAATATTGTACATAGTACTCACCTGTATTTTCTAGCAGTGTTTTTGGTGTATTTGGTCTATTGATTATGTCGATGAGCTGTGTCAGAATTAATGGAATATATGCACTTGTATCAGACCCTATAAATAAACAGAAAGATATGTACATATTAAATAATTTGTCTTATATATCATATTTTATATATTTTAGATCATGATTTTAAAATAATTTACCGAGTTTTATAGCTATTTCACCAATAGCCCATGTTGCATTATTACATACAGATATAAATTCAGGATTTAAATTTTGTCCAAGTATAGGCATAAATTCCGCTATAAATAAAATCAACAAATAAATATTTTGAACTTATATAAATGCAATAAATATTAATAGATAATCACAATAATAATAATAAAAATACTTACGTATACATGGGAGAACATGTTGGAAGCAGGCCTTTGTAAGATCTCCTAATAAAGCAAAACTGCTCTGTCTAACTTCAGGCATAACATCTTGCATACATTGATATAATAATTGCATAACATTGCTATTCATTACTAAACGTTCCATATGACCATCCAAGCCTTCTGCCAAACCACTAAGGAGGTCTAATGCAACAATCATAAAATCTTTGTCAGGGGCTTCAAATTGTTCTGGGCTTTGTGTATTTGCTATATGTTGATTTAATGTCTGCTCTACAAGAGATACACACCGTCTAAAAAAGAAAAAATAAAAAATAACATAAAATAAACATTTTGATATTATTACATTTACAAAAATAAAAATTTTTTTAAATTTATATTTACCTATATACGGGTTCACAGTAAGGAAGGAAACCAGATCGTAAAGCAGTTGCAACTGAAGAAAGACATTCTAATAGTGGAAAGAGATCTTTATCTTCGTCTTTCAATACATTCCATTTATTAATAAGTGGTGGCATAAGAAGGTTAATATAATCTGGTTTGTTAAGATGATGTCCTACTGAATCAGCAAGTGTACCAATTGCATCGTACAATATTAAAAGATTTTTATGTTGATATTTTCCTATTTATACAAAAATAATTAGTAAAAAAAATGATATAAATATGAAATGATAAATAGATATGTAATTCAATTTAATATTTCTATAAATATATATTTACCAAAAGCAAAAACAAGTGTCTCAAGAATAAATCCAAGATAAGGGACTAATTCTGTGCATGCTTCCTCTTCTAATGTTGCAAAAGCAGAACATGCGGCTTCCTGAACGCGTTTATTGCCATCAAGTACTCTTTTGAGTAATTCTGTCATCAAAGGTTTCAAATGAGTGTCATGAGGTTGCGCACAAACCCAATGTGCATATCGACTTAATGTCCAGCAAGTAATAGCGCGTACTAGTGCTTTTTTATCACTTAAGCAACTAATTAAATATGGAATTAATTCTGATAAATGTGGAATCATTCCACTCATACAACCTACGATATTATATATTAAATTATAATTTAAATCTATATAAAATAATACATAAAATATTGCATCAATAATTGACAAAAAAAAGAACCTTCTGCTATAGCTCCCAATGCTAATATTCCAGATTCTTTGATTTCCCAATCTTGATGGAAAAGTGTTTCTTTTAAAATTGGTACTAAAACTGGTAATAATTCTTCTCTAAATACGTTTGCTAACATATCTAAAGCAGCAGCAGAGCATTTCCTTAAATTCCAATCACTAAGTGTTGAATCATCATCACATCCATCTTCAGCATCTGTATCATCTTCATCACAACCTCCGTTTTCGTTTGTATGCTTATTCATATTAGCGTGATGTGTATGATGTGTTTTTGATTTTGGAAATCTTGGTCTAATATCTTCTTCTCTATCTGGGATCATTTCATCTTCTTCTACATCTCCTTTTAGAAGTATTATATCAATTTCCGAATATTTCATGCCTCTTACCTATTAAAATATTATGAAATTGAATTATTTATTGTAATATTTGTTTGAAAATTTATGTCATTTTGATTATGATTACCTACCAATATAGGTACTAAACGGGGTAAATGTGGTGCAAGTGCTTCTTTACAAATTGGTTGCTCAGCTAATGAAAGCCAAAATTCACAGGCTTCTAAAGCAACTCCTTCATCAAGATCTTGAGTCCTCATTAACATATATTCTATTATGTTATGCATATGTGGTATTAATCTATCCATTCGTACTTCAAGCAACATTACCAAAGCTCTTTAAGAAAGAAAGTCATAAGTTTTATATTATACAAAATATTTTATAATCTAATATAATCTAAAACTCAAAACAGAAATAATATAATCATACCTGCAAACATGTTTTCTAACATCAGAATCATCATCATTAGCTAAATGGAAGAGATTCTCCAAAAAACTATCTATATGAATCATTAAAGCCTGCGTACGATTAACAATAAACTGATTAACACAGGCAATAGCATGTGATCTAATTTTAGGGCTTGAATGTCTAAAAAATTGCAGGAACTTTGGAATTAAAACATTTAATGGTCGATTGAGTGCATCAGAGTCCAATATTTCTGAAGAATCTTCACAAATCTTTTGAAGAGCACCAAAGGCACCTTCACACACATTATAATCTTGTGAATCTAACATTTGACAAAGTGCAGGTAATAATTCTGGCCATCTGGTTAATTCACCTAAAAAATAATATTTAATTATAATCAAATAATCATAAATAGTATAATAAAAATTATTTAATAATTATTATTGTTAATTACCTTTGGATGCAATGGTAGTTATTAAAATACCAACAGTTGCACGAATTAGAGGTGATGGATCTCCAACTGCTGATAAACATTCTTGCTTGATGAAATTTGTAACCTCTGGTAAAAATTTATAAAAATGAGCTTTAACGTTATTTTTCAAAATCAATCCACTTAGAGACCTTGTTGGTTCATCTTAAAAGAAAAACAAAATAATTAACATCGTGCATGTTTTTAAAAATATAAGTTTTATATAATAAATTAATGTTTAAATTACATACCCTCTGATGTGAGTTTTGTTAAAACAAAAATAAGGTAATTATTAAAGTCAGGAAATTTGTTTAATTCTTCCAATTTCTAAGAAATATTGATAAGGAAAAATTGAAATAAAAAATATATATTAAAATATTATAATCTTCTAATTTTCAAAAAGAAAATAATGCACATTTACATAATTACTAATTATATTTTTTTTTAGTATTATATATGCATTTACAATAAATGCAAAATATTGTATTTACATTTTGTAAATTTATGCAAAAATATAAAATATATTTCTCATTATATATATGAATAAATTTATAAATATATATAAAATATTTTGAATCATCAAAACTTTTTCAAACTTGCTACAAATAATACATACATATTATGTATACAGTACAAACAGTATGGAAGTATGTAAAAAAAAAAATTCAAGTTTCTGTAACTGTAATTTTCTAGCACTTATAATTCGCACAAAATATAGTCTATCAACATCCATTTGTGTATGTCATTTCCAGCCTGTTTAATTAATATTATGGATGAAACTATATACAAGATTTATCGATTACAGCGTCAAGAAAACAAACTCGTCACCGACAGTAACGGCATTTCCGACGCGCCCTGCGACAGAGATCATGTATCGTTAACATATTTCTTGGCGCTTAAGCATAACTCACGTGTTATTCGAGAAAAACCTACAAACTTCTGTCGACCTACTATTATTATTTCGAATATTAATCGTAAAATGATTTCGTAAAAAGTAATGTGAACAATTATAAAATGGGTTATATGATTATATAGAATCATATTTGTTACAATACGGTGTCTCAACGACTTTTCAATCGAACTACAGATGACAAAAAAGGGGATTCGTGACAGGCTGCGCAAAAGCGCGCCGAACATTTTTCCATCTTATATCTAATAAAATATCTCGATAGCTTTTATATTTATTGAGACTCTTTGTTGTATCTTTTTCATTAAATTTTCGAACTTATTTAAAAGAAGCCTTATTTTTAATGAGATGGAAAGCACGCCCCTTGATTGACCTATCCGCTTTACTTCGTTACCGCGTCGCGGGTGTACTCACCGGGAACAAAAATCTCTCAATTGAACTTTTTCATAGCACTGAACGATTTATGATCATATAAGAAAGGATACTTCTTGAACGGCTCGCTGCGTAGCCGTATCCGGGCTCTGAGACTCCTTGAGGAGCGTCAAGATTTGTCGAAGTCCTTCCTCTTGCGGTTGCCACGCCATTTTCATCGTGTTTTTCAACAGCACCACTGAACGCAGCCAGCCTTCTCTGACCTCGCAGATAAACGGAAGCTCCCCACGGTTACCCCCACCATCACGCCACGAAAGCATTAAGATACCGGCGTACGACACTAGGATTCTTTAGTTAAATTTCGCTAGGTCGTGCTGTCGGATCTGCGATTAATTGTTCAAAACAATTAGATGAATATTTAACATCGTTTCATAACGATATTCCATTTTTATGTAATTCATGCAGATAGACAATTGAACGTTTTCGATGCTTAGCAGACGAGCATTTCCGGCGACAGCAGTGACATCGATTGGCCTGCTATTTGGATTTATAAGTTCGGATAATGTTTTCAAATATAATATTATTTTGTCGTTATATATAATGTTTCCTATTATCTTTTCAAAATATTTAAACTATTAATAACATGTGATACGTATTAATTTTTAAAATAAATTTTAAATTAAATAACTGACAAACAAATTTTTCTTCGGGGCTTTTGATTCGACAATTACACTCCTGTTTAGCGGCTAAATTTTAAATGTCGAAAGAAATGTTATTTATAATAAAACATTTTTTAAATGATTTTTTTTATACTTAATCGATCATTCATTGTCATTTTTTATACTTTATTATTATTTATGATTTATTTTTTCGAATAAATAATTAAAAAATAAATAAATATTTATGGAAAAACTATAGCAAAACATTTATTAAATTATATATATTTTTATTATTTATTCATTTATTAAAATTTAAGATGTATACAGTATATAAAAGCGAAATGTTTATAGAAGTCATTAGTTATTGACATTTTTATGCACATTGTATTCGTGATTTTGGTCTCCAAATTTCGATTCCCTCTGTACCAGAAACAGCAAGAACATCATTTAAATAATCTGTCTGTAATTAAAAAAAGTTAAATTTATTATTTATTATTTTTTATTAAGTTAAATTTATTATAATTATATTATTATTAAGAATTACATAACTAACAATAATTAAAATTCATAAAAATATTTCATATGTTATTTCAAATCACTTACACTAGCAATTTCGCCATAATTAGATTTTAAAGTAGTAAGATGTTGTGGAGGATCAGTAGGACTGGAAATTCTAACTGTTTTGTCCATAGAACTTGTGAGTAAACATCCTGGTGCAATATGGACACCATTAATACCTTTTTTATGTTCAGTAGTGTAACATTTAACTGGTTCAAAATTCTTTTTTGGATCAAGTACATGTAATTTTGCACTACCATCTCCCACATAAACTATGTCCTTTTCCATACTCATACTCATAGGAAATGATTCCTGAGAAATCTAAAATATATTAAAATAAAATTAGTAAAATTTTACTATTTTTTAATAAAACTTTTTATTATAATATCCTTACTGTAACATTTTTCATAGTTCTTCCTGCTCTTTGATCCCATATAGATACTGTTCTATCTTCACTTGCAGATAAAATAAAATGAGAACTCATAGCTAGTCTAATGACTGCTCTTTTATGTGGTCGATATTTTATAATAGGTTTATAATTTAATCTCGGATCAAATACTAAAATAGTTTTACAAAATGATCCCGTCGCAAAGAGTGCTAAATCTTGGCAAGATGCAACACACAATAAAGCACCTGATACGAGCCTAAAAAATTGGTTAATCCTTCCATATAATATTGTAACTTATTAGAATAAGCTAATACATAGCTACTTTTGGCAGAGCGAGTGAAAGCAAAGATTTCTTGCTTAATTATTCTTTTCGAAAAAATTACAAAAAATTATATTTGCTATTCAATATTCTTTTTGTTGAATATAATTCATTGCCTAAATATTTTAAGAAATAATGAATAAAAAATGTTCGTGCCTTCCTCGCTCGGCCTTCCCATAACGAGAGCAGCGAAAATGACCAGCTCATGTACATCTCATAAGTTTTGAAGTGAATGAGACCAGTGTTAGTAAGTGTCCATGCTTTAACACTTTGATCCCAACTACAACTATAGACTGTATTATCTATTGCTGCTAAATCCCAAATCCATCCATCATGAGCAAAATCTATGCATGTGTGACTCTCTCTTTCATTTTCTTTTGTAGAAAGTTTCCAACATACCAAAGATCGATCTCTAGCTCCTGATATGCAAATATTTCCTTCCTATATGAATTATATATTAATATGAGTATTATTATTGTAAATATAAATTTATAAAAATATGAAATAAAACATTATTTAAAATATTGTACTAGCCTGCATTAATAATAAGCCATCAATAGTACTGTATTGCACATTACTAAGTGATAATTTCTCCATATAATCTTTTCTTCTCCATAATGATGTTTGCTTTTCCAATGCAACACATGATAATTTCCAAAATAATTCATCATCCTCAGCTTAGAAATAAAAATAATATATATATATATAATAAATAAAGAAAATAAATATATATATTTTTAGCAAATAATATTAATATGTAAGAATATATTTTAAATAAAAAATTAAATATAATATTAAATTAAATTAATTGCAGTTTTTAATAAATTATATATTTTCTTTGTTAATTGAAATATTATTATTTATGAACATTCATTTCTTATGATATAGAGTATGTATAAAAATTTAATTTTAAAGTTAATATGTTTTTATAATGAAAAATATGAAATATAACTAGTTATTGGATACAGTAATAGGTGGTGTTTTATTTATTTACAGAATGATTGGTCGTGCAAGGCGCAAGGTGCTATCAATTTGAGCTAACCAGGAGGCAAGACTGGATAACCAGTATCTGGCCAAATTTGACTAATCCTCGCTTTCCATAATGAATTGTCATTTAAAATTTGATAAAATTGTTTACACACTAAACTCAAACCATGTACTAATGTAGATGCATCTAGGAAGGAACAAATGTGAAGAAATATCTGAAATATAATAATACAAATTTTTATTAATTTTATATATTATAATAAAAAATTATATTATAATAATTTTATTGTATATTATAATAAAAAACTTTGATTATTATGTGGAAAAAATATAATATGTAATGAAAAAATATTTAAATATAATATAACTTTTCATTTAAAAACACAAAACTAAAATTAAATTTTGAAATACATGTACTACTTTGCGAAATAGAGATTTAAAAATGGCGTTTATCTGTTACTGACGTTTCGTTAAAGTTGTCGCAATATTCCATTTATTCTCAAAGAATATATGTTACAGCTCGCTTATTAATCGAATTCAATTTTTACTTTAAAAATCATTTTTTCAATATTATATGATATCGTCATTATATTAAAATTTATATTAATAAAAGTTATCTTATTGTTTGTAAACAATAACATAGCATTTGTAATTTGTCTTAATAATTAAAAAAAGTTAATTGAAATAATAATAGATAATAAATATTATCTGATAAAGTTTTGAATTTTTTAAAATTATTTAAAAATTCATTTATATATATACATGAATATATATACATATATTTTTAAGCATTATTTCTCTATCAAAGATGCGTATATAAAAATCTAAAATTTGTTTATACAAACCTCGATTGGAAGATCCGATAAAGATAGCTGGAATTCCGTTTGATTAGATTCAATTTGAGTGAAATGCTGTTCTTCATCACACATTTTAGTCTAATAAGGAGAATATTAAATGTTACGTTTTTAAATAATATCATTCGATTGACTATTAAATATCTTGATGATTCAGCACGCAATAAAAAGAAATAAATGCAATGGTTGTTTTTTTATTTGACTTTATTATTTACCGTTTTGGTTCTTATATACGATACAGCTTTATATGAGCACTTATGAGTCATTTACCACCTCCGTTTTAGTAAATTTCACAATCTTCCAAGACAGGGCTGACAACGTATAATGACAAGTTTAAATAATATTTTTATTTTACTCGTTTTATTATTTTTTTTATTATTGCAAATTTGTATAAATCACTTTATAAAATTCCATTACATACATTTTGCATACATTTTATAATAAACAAAAGAATTTTTTATAATTAATTATATAATATAATATTTATTAAAATTTAATTATGTGGCAATCATTAAATTTTAGGACATAATTTATAAATATTCGTAATAAAAGAATATGTTCTCAAAATATTCCAACAAATTCATTTAGAATAATTTTTATATATTATAAACAATTGATTATGATACATAAATGTGATTTTTCCTTAATAAATAAAATATAATTCGAAACTAATAGTATACACATAATAATCTTAAGTACAGTATTGAAAGGCAGTACTTAAGATAACAATAGATAAAATATATATATTTTATGTGTAATTTTTATAACTTCATGATTTCTATAATTGTTTTATATTATTTATTTATCCATTTATTTGTTTATTCATAAAGACACATGTTCATGCAGACATATGTACAATTATAAAAATACTTTTGTAGATAGAAATTTATATCTTATATCTTATCAATTTTTTTGTTTAAAGCTACTTTAATAAAAAAATCATTATTATTATAATTTTGTACATATGTAAGTATATAAATCATGTAATGATATATTCAATAAAAGTGTTACAATTACTATTTTCCATATAAAATAAATAAGATATATATTTAATATATCAATTATTTAAGCACAATTATCATGTACTTTAAAATAATTTGTAAAATTAATTATTATAAATGAAAATATTGCACCACTTGCAGATGCTATTTGCATAATTGCACCTACATTAAAGAGTATATTGGGAAGCACTGTATTTCTAAATACTGATATAACAATTAATTTTAAATAAGAAACAAATCCCATTAAAAGTGCCCATGATATTATAATTAAAAAAATGCCAAGTTTTGTTGCTTGTAAAGGTGGTGATGAAGACATTGCTAAATATGTAACGTAACTTCCAATAAATAAACATATTATAGATAAGTAATTAATAATTTTTATACTTGAAATTTTAAACCAAAATGTTAATAAACACATAAGTGGATTTGCAACTTGAGCACATATTATTGACAATTTATATGCTATACTTCCATAAGGTAAACAGGAATAAGATTGTATGCTTGGAAAGAAACCATGACTCAAAAAGCAAAAAATAGCAAGTAATATAAATAAATAATTTCGTGTTTGTTTAGTTAAATATTTGCTATTATTTACTAAATAATGTTTCATTTCTTGTATATTATTAGTACAATGATCATGAGAATCATATGCTTCTTTTTCACCAAGTACTATATTGATAGAATTATGAATTTGTTTTATGTTTTGAAAAACTGAAGAATATTCTAAAATAGCAAAAGCAACTAAAGATAAAAATAAAATAATAAAAATAAATAGAAAATATTCACTTGGAGAAAATTTTAAAACAAAAGATTCTAATGATTCTATATTAGTATTATTTTTAAGAATTATACATTCTGAAATATATCCAATTCCTTGTATCAAAGCAATAATACTTGGCAATACACCACTTAATCCTTCTCCTATAAAATATGATGTTAAAAATTTTATATTAAAGTTACGAAGATATGGTATAAATAATATAGAACTAAAGCAACCTACTAAGGCATTGAAAAATGTTAAAACAAATAATAGCAAACTGTATTCATCATCAGCAATAACAGTTTTCTCAGAATGAAAAAAACTTAGAAATCCCATTGCCAAAGTTCCTAACACCAGCAAACACATTATCCACCAAGGTTCATTTATCTTACATTTGAAGTATTGCAAGATTATATATAGTAATGGACCAAAATTTGCAGTTTGAGTTACTGATACTAAATAAACTGGTAACGACCAACCTTCAGGAGATGTATTAATAAGTACTGGTATTTGAATAAATATTCCATTAATACCAATCCAAGAAGATATGCCAAATAATATTATAAGAAAATGCACAACAATATAAGTTTTTTCATTGCATATTTTTTTATCTTGTGTAATATGGATCATTCTGCATTTATAGAAAAAATCAAATTTTTATATGCCTGAATAATAATTAATAAAAAAATTATTTTAAATAAAGTTAAAGTTTTTTATATTTATATAATTATTTTTTATTAACTGATTTCTCACCAAATTATTTTGTTAAATTTCCAAATATTATAATTAAAAAAAATTTTTATTATTTCATTTATGTATTTTGTAAAATTATTTAAAAAACGAAAAGTTTAAAATTTTACATTATAGAATGCATTTAAACCAGAGAAACTGGTTAGATATGATAAAATCATAAGATGTGACTTTTCTTTAATCCGAATAATAAAATTTATCAGATAAAATATAAAGTTTGAGTAATCATTTTGAATTGACATAATGATAGTTAAATTTTATATTAAGTACATTTTAATATTTTAATAATTATTAAACTCAAAATAAATGATAAAATTAAACTTTGGATATTTTTGATATAAAAATTATTCAAAACATTTATTATGCAATAAATTATATTATAATTGCATTTTTTGAATTTAAAATTAAAATTTCGAAAATAGTATTTATTTATTTATATGCAAACAAATTTTGTTTAAATATACAGGACTATTTTTTAATTATATTCATATCTTATATATCTATTTGAATTAAATTCATATTGAAATAAAAATATACTATAATTCTTTATTTTCAATTATTAAAAATATTTAGCTTTCCTAAAATTTTGTAAGCAAATTAGAAGTTCGATTGGCTTTAATATTGATCTATTTTTTAATATTGAAATTACAAAATCTAAATAATTTTGTTTTTATATTAACTTATGTGTGTAAATAAACTATATATTCTTAATTCGATGTTCCAGATTTATAATATTTAAAAATAGTTAGACCCTGCTCTTTCATATTTCATAATTTGATAAATAATAGAAGCTAAGAGATATATTTCATTTTAATTAATTTTATACAATTTTTACTAATAAAATTATTAAATATAAATATCATATTAAACGTCAGTTTGCTGCAACTAATAAACATGGTGAATAAGAATGGAATAGTTTTGCATGATTAACTAAGACAAATGTAATTATTGCTCCTATCAATGATCCAATTTGAGTTGCAACACCAGTATAATATAAACCTCTGCCAGGATCAGGCCTAAATAACGTTGTAATACCCAATTTTATAAATCCTATCAAACCACTAATTAATATCCAAGATAAAACTACCAAAAATTCACCTAACCAGGTATTTTGCAAAGGTGGTGTAGGTGATTCAACAGCTAGAAAGCAAACAAAACTAGAAAGTGCTATAAGTATAACCATAAGACCAGAAAGGAAGTTAATTTCTGGCATTTTTATGACAAAACCTAAACACATTGCCAATGGACCAGCCATTGATGATAATGTAACAGTTAAATGATATGCAACATTTCCATACGGCAAACAAGAATATGATTGAATACTTGGTAATGTACCATTACCTAAAAAACAAACCATTCCCATCATAATTAATAAATATGAATACACTTGCTTAGACATTGCCCAACCAGAATTTGTTTTATAACTAGGAGGAGCTCGTGTATCTGTTGGTAATGTTTCCATATTTGCTGAATGTTTCACACGCTCTCCAATAGCAATAGATAAATTGTTTAATCCCAAAAATGCCAAGAAACATAAAAACAATAAAGTACCAATAAAAATAAAAAAAGTCTGACTTGAAAATCTGGGTTCTGGATAATAAGGTATTAATTCATTAGATCCAGATTTAGTAATATTTAAACATTCAGGATTTCCACCAACACCTTGGATTAATGCCACTAAGCTTGGCACAAATCCGCTGAGTCCTTCTCCTACAAGATAGGACACTAAATAAATCTCTCTATAGTTCCTCATGTATGGCATAAAAAGTACTGAACTCGTACATCCAACAATAGCAGTTACAAACATTAATGATAATAGTGCAGTGGAATGCTTATTGCCAAATATTATAGTAGTTTTATCATATAAAAAAGCTAATATAAATGTAGACATTGCTCCTGCTGCTAAAAGGACATATGTAATATATTTGTCACATGCCCATTTATTGTATCTAAAACAAAAAAAAATAATACTTGAATATATTTGATAAAGAATATTTTATAAATTATTGTGAATTGAAAATATATTTATGAGATATATCATAAAATATATTATGAATTATTAAAATATATTTTTAATATACATACTTTATATATAATGTATAAAGTATTGGTCCTAAATTGGCAAATTGTACTAACATAACCATATGTGCTGGAAGACTCCATCCTTCTGGAGCTTCGTTCACAAGAAGTGGTAATTGAACATAAATGCCATTCACACCAATCCATGCACCAAGACCAAACATTAGTGCAAGTAGGTCAACTAATAACCTTCTATTACTTAACTTTTGGCTCAACATATTTTGTCTTTTGTTATTCATCAACAGTGGGTCTAAATAGGTCAAATGACCTTGCTGATGAATCCTTTCCTCTTCAGTCGCCGTTTTTTAGCTTTCTTTTTGCAAAAAATGTTGAATTTTATAATCGATGATATATGTATAACGAATGAAATATAACGAATGAAACTTATTCTTCGTTATATTCAAAGTTTTAAAATTGAAAAATATAATCTCTAAGAAGACCTTATTAAATAATTGATATTAATTGAGATAATATAGCAATTATTAACAAATTATAAGATCAATTCATTCACTGTATCAGCAACTTTAATGATTATTCAATGTTTTGGTATTGCAATCTGTTTTCTTTTTTTATATAAATGCTTTCCACTATCACTTTTCACTTGTAAAATTTTTATTTAATTATTTAATAAATTTCTAAAATTAATTTTTTAACACTTTTTCAAAATAGTTTTCTTTTTTCTTTTTCTTGTGGAAAACATAACCTTAAATCACAAATAAACGTTACAGTTACGATAAACTGACCAATATTTGTTGGTGCGCATGTATATGCGATTGCGTATATTAAATTCTTAGAAAAAATAAATATAATTTTGTATTATAACATGATAAAATTATGATAATCTAACACCATACGAACTGATATATGCGACAGTCGCAATTCGACTGTTGGTTGTTCGGTCTTTCGTAACTCGTGACTTGTAATGATTGGGTATCGGTCAAATTTGCTTTATATACATTGTTCATTTTTATTATCAATATCTATTAGTATTAGTTAAATACATATATTTATAGCAATTTAATAATGGTATGAATCTTCATTTCTTCTGAATTAAAATATTTTCTCATTAAACTTGATAATTTAATAATTAATAAATAATTAAAATTTTTCTAAATTCTCTCATTTTTGTGGAATGATAATAAAAGATGTTTTTTTAAGCAAAAATGATAAATTATACTTTTCAAATTTTCCCTCAAGTTATGTTATAATTTTGTACTACTTATTCTTAGATCAGTTACTATAATCATTTGTATTTGTGTTTCGAACTTGCCACTTTATAATAGCGTTTCGTATATCATGATCGATGTATTCAGTGCAGTAAAACATATTAGTCCGAATAGCTTGATTGATGTCTCTTGTGTCCATATCACATTACTATTACAAGGATTGATGTACATTTTAAATCTAATATATAACCTAGCAATAGATATTAATAAATAGGTAAAGCATAATTAAATTTAAGTTTTTTAAAATAAAAAAGAAATGAATAAAAATGTAGCTGTAAATTTTTTTTACAGCTTGTGATTTTATAAGAACTGTTCATTAAATCATAAACGGAAAGGTAATGAAATAAATACCACCATCAATTGAATATAGCAAGAACTTTATAAAAGACGAGGCAGACTCACAGATGGTTTAAGTATATTAGTATATGTCTCAAAACTCTGAGAAACGTATGACGGTTTTGTATTCGCATTTTTTTTATTCTTTTTTTTTGTTTTTTTTTTCTTTCAAATAGATCACACATGAAAAAAAGTTGTTGCATAAAGAGATGTGTTTATATCGTGCGTAAAAAGTACGAACATACATCAATCGAAAAAGAGTTATTAGTCAAGGATAGAAGCTGAAAAAGGAAACGCTCGACTAGATTTGATAAACTCCCTCTTGTTATGTTATATTATAAATTGTCGAAATTAACATGTTTCTCTTCTTATCTAACCTTAACGACCAAAACTCATTGACGTTATCGTAAAAAATATACATATATGTTCATGGTCGTCGATCGTTTGCAAATTATTTATTACTTATCGTTTATCAGTTATTATCATATCTTAGAAAAATAATTGTTTATTTCTAATTGTACAAGAGAAAGCATGACAATAAAGTATGAGAATACTGGTAATATTGTAACGAAAGAGGGAGTTCTATTATTAAGAAAAAACGTGACTTTCGCTCCTATTGGAGGAATATTGGGAAAAATGTACAACAAGGAAAATTATTTCGAATAAAGTAATTTGCTTCGCAAGCGATTGTAGTTTTGTAAATTAATGTGTGAATCATTTTTATCGCGAAAATGACAAGGAAATTGATATTATTTTATGATATCATCGTCCATCAGCGCGATATGACGTGAAACTTCAGAATAAGAAGAAACTTCGATAGAATATCGAGTGAAAAATCGATTTTCAGTATTTCGATTTTTATCATGATCTTCGATACTTATCGATTTCTGTTAGTTAAGTCGGGTTATGGAGCATTGATATTTGTGAATATATTTGATAGAATAAAATAAAAAGAAAAAAATTAGTACAATTTTGAAAGATTTGAGAAATAAGGATGTGAGAAAATATTTTTAAAAATTATAAAATTAATGAATTAAGAAATAAGAAAATAAAAAGAGAACAAAAAAAAGCAAGAATAGTGTGACCTAAACGAAAAAAAAAAAAATGATTCAAAATGCATATTCATTTAATTTTCAAATAGTTAATCCTAAATAGTAATAGTTAATCAAATTCCATAAATCTTGTAAATTTTCTAGAATTTTTAACGATAAATATGCACTATCGATTATACTCTTCATTTTATATCTCGTTTTTAAGGAAAACCGATAACCTAGAAACAAGTACAATATTAACGTCCTTCCTCTCCTCTGAATCCCAACGTTTTTGAAAAAAGTTACAAACGCGGAATATCGATAGACAAAAATTAATTATGCGACGCTGGAGTGGGGAAGAGCAATATCGGATGGAATTCATGGAACGAACGGGTGAAAGGCCGATGTCCGATATTTACATAGCTCGAATAAAAGTTCGGGATACTATCCTTTTATTCGTCTTTTTCATCACTTAGAATTTTTCAATTCTTATAACTTTCAATTTCGTTTAAGTATTCAAAATAACATATAAGAATAATTCAAAAAATATTTCTACAGAAAATAGAAGCCGATTTTTCGAATTCATCGATTCATCGATTCATCAATGGATCGTTCAATATCGCATATCGATTTCCAAAGGTCAATTGACATATGATGACGTAAAAGAATCGGAAACTTAATAAAACAATTTTATTCTGAAGAAAGAGGTTATGAATGATGGAAAAGAAAATATATAAATGCTTGAAAAATATGATGGTAAGAGATGGAATCAAGAATCAAATCAGAGAGAGAGAAAGAGAGAGAGGAATGAAGCTCCTTGACCCGACTGATTTGATAAATTCCAAGCATTTCTGCCATTCTATAGCATAGTTATATGTGTAAATATGTATTCCGCTTCATGTTCTATGTTTCTTAGCGATGATGACCCGCACCCGGCCCTCGCGAGAATGAGTTTAATTGACTGAAGTGCCGAGCCGAATCACGGGTACACTTTGAAGCATGTATGGAAGTTCGTTAATATCGACGATATATGGGAGATAAGACAGGTTAATTTACTAATTTGTTACAATATTTTAAATGTCAATATCCAATTAATTCTCATTTGATTTATGCATATTATTCGAATTTTGTATATTATTTACGTAATAACCTAACTTTTTAATGCAATTAAATGAATTGGATTTTTTTGGAATATGTACGACACGAATGAATGAGATTTCTAGATTATTAAGAAACAAAAATAAGAAGATATGGAAAATCTAGTGTGTGAATAAACGTAACTATAGAATGTTTCGTAATATCAGATGTCGAGGCTTTTGAAAATTGAATACCACTTGAACTAACTGAAATGCTTGCGCTGTTGCTATTTTAGATATCCAAAACATCCAGATATTAGATACCTTACGTATTCCGAATATTGAATAGAATATTTCATGTTCCAGATATTCGAATTCCGTTTCTTTTAAGGTATGTACACGTATTTGACATATAGTATATATGACTATCATTTAGTTTATCATATTCCTTATAGTAGAAATATTCGATTGAACATTAATAAATTCTCCCAGGTATCGTGTGACATTTATCCACAGCGCCGCAGCATTAACTAGAACACGCCAAAGCGGAAATCGCTGGTTTATCGCGCTGACAGACGCGGGGATTTAATCGTTCGATCGGATTAGATGCGATTGTCAGAGCTACTGTCACGCCTGTCGCAAGCGTTTCGATAGAAAATTGAAAACCGTGAAACAGGAGAGTTTAGACTGGCAAGGAGGGACACACGGGAGATTCCTGTAAACGGTTCGGTTTCTTTAATACATTGTTCGCTTTTCTGCGGACGCAAACGTTGCGATCGATAAAATCTGACAAATTACACAACAATACAATGACATTAGATACGATCGGTCTCTTGTCGCCGATAAAAAAAATTCCTCCAACTTGGGTCTGGTCAAACGCTGCTTGAAACGAATCGCGATCGTTTTGATTTTGCATTGCAGTGGTTTTTTTTTCCATTTCTTTTCCTTTTTTTTTTTTTTTTTTTTTTTAATGCTTTTGTATTTTTAAGTAATTTCTAGACTAGAACCAAGTTCGAGGATTGTTGGCCGTTAGGCGGGAGATTTGACAAGCTTCGAGGACGCATCGACGTCGACGATTCCCGTCGGTGGTCCTATTGTAATATACACATGACTGTATATTAGATATAAGAAAACTTTGAATCGAGGATATTGAACGAGAGCGTTGCACGAGAGACTGTTTCTCCTATTTTTTTCTTTTCTATTACGTTTACAGAAATGTGTTACACATGTATATTATGATGATCCTCGGCCTTCATAAGCATAGGGAAATCGTCGAAGATCGCAAGATCGTATTTTTTTTTTTTTCATCGTTTCGTTAATTTCTTTTATTTCTTCCTTCCTTCTTTTTTTCTTTTTTATTCTGACACGTTCAAAGTTTTCTCCAATTTTTTTTTTTTTTTTTTGCTAACTCGAACATTCTTTATTGCAGGTTCTTTGTGTCGTCGTGAAATGACGAAGAAAAAGAAGTATAAACGGATAAACGTAATCTTGACAGCTTTACGAATTTAAGTTAAGGCGCTATATTAAAATGGAAATAAGATTTCGTGGGAATCTCAGCCGTCTGCAATCTTGAATAAATTTTTGCTGATTCGAAAGCAAGCATTTTTTATAATGGCTACGATTTGCAATACGATACAAAATGACACAAAAAAACAAAGGTAATTACTGGCGAAACGAGTTTATTTATTGCTTTTATCTTCGCCAATCATATCACGTGCTTTCTTATCGTTTAAGCCTGAAAGCTATGAAAAAAGAGATAGAATATTAGATAGAATAAGTAGAACGTAATTTTTCCGCGATTAACGTTCAAGCGAAAATTATGTTGGAAATTAAACCATACAATATGGTAGATATATTATCAGAAATTATAACACATATTGTACCAAAATCAAAAAGAAGCCGGGGAATATGGTTGCAGTTAAGAGAGATATGATAATGCGAATTATATAACGAAGATTACGCGAGATTTATATAATGAATTTAACAACAGATATCGTCGAGTTAATGTCTAATTGAAGAATATAATTATTTTTTTATCGTTGGAAACGAAACGATAATGCCACGATCATGCGATTCGCTTGAAATCCTTCTCCGCTTCGCGCATACTATAGGCACAACTCTCTTTTATTTAAATTTCATTCTTAAATCATCAACAGTTTAGTACAGTTATATAATATGTACAAAGTATACAGACTCCGCTACTTCAGAGGAGGGACACAACTTTCATGCGATGTATCGTTTTTTTCTCGAATGAATTGCTGCTTCCAGTTAAAAGCACCGGTTCGAATTTCGCGGATCTTGCCATTCTCGTTGCTTATTAAAATTGTCTCGAATGACTCTGTCGAAGTGGAAATAAAAGAATAGCTTTGAACGAGGAAACGAAGAGAATTTAATCTACCGTTAAAATTTTTCTTTGAAAATTATCTCATAGAAATAACTATATATTTTTCAGAATCTACTTTATCAAGATCGAACAGACAATTCCGATTCCAAGAGCATAATCCAAGGATAGAATGAAATCGGAGATGTATCGACATCAAAAATCGAAGTAATTTTCGTAAGCATGAAATGCAAGGAAGAAATGAAAAGACATTATTTTGGGGAGGAAAGCTATCAGCTTTCTCATCGGTGCTTTTAATCAGGTATTGGGGGGAGGGTCGACGAGTTTCGTGTGTACAAGCAAGCACCGATTCAACTACACACGTGCGCGGTACACGACGATTCATGGTGGACTGTTAGACGTAATATCTAACGTGTGAACTAACTGGTGTATCGATCGTCTTGCTACTGATGCGATGTATACTGATGCAAGACGTGCACGTATCGTAAGTACATGTGTTTCGGTACATATATCGGTTATTTGAAACTATAATTACACGAGGGATGGAGGAAAGAACAGGATACGAAGCTTTCAAATGGGACATCATATCGGCATCAAGATAGAAGAGATAAGGAGAAACAGTTTCACGAATCGGTTGTAGAATTCTCACTGTTTCAAGAAAATCAATATGAAAGTAGATGCACTACCAGAATGTAGATACAATCTGGTTGAATTTTCTTGCCTCTACATACAGATATATACTTTGAGCCGGAGTGGAAGATGAAAAGTACTGATTTGAACTACTTTAAATGGTAGGAAAGAGAGAATAAGAGTACAAGACATTGGAAAGAAAAGTTTGCATGAAGAGATATTTATATCTGTCGAGTTTGTATGACCAGCCTTGTCCAGTATCTGTTCTTGTCTAAAGAACAGTATTGAAGTTGGGACATACTGTTTCAGAAGTGATGAAACGTGGAGAGTTAGCGATTCTTTGAGAACAAGAGACACGAAGATAACAAGAATAGAGAAGAGTCAGTTTTAAAGATAAAAAAATTTGAAGAAATTGAAAAATTGCAGAGAAGGGAAAAGGAATTGGATAAAGAAATTTTTAAATTTATTTTCAGGAAGATTGACTGTCCCATTTGAAAATTGTTGTACGAGAAAAAGGCAAAAGAAAGATCGATGGAAAATGGCATGATGATATGAAAGGCGTACGTAAGGAAAATAAAGGATAAATGCAGAATGCAAAAATTCAAAAATGCAATATCGTCGAAGACCTCGCACGTATGACGCTATATTGGTACAGGTACAGTAGAACGTGGCCAAAGTGGTTGGAGAAAGTGTATATTTTCGACGAACAATAAATTGGATTATTTCTTCGATCTATAAGTGCTACACGCGGCACGTTGTTCATGATTCTTTTACTCCGTATGGATTTTTTCATTAACTTTTCCCTGGTACAAATTACACAGTTTATCGTGTTATCTAAAACGCGTATTAATAATTTTTAGATAGTAAATTTATCGATAAAACGGCGATTAATATTTAATTTTAAGAAAAAAAAATAATGATATATAAATATGTTTCGACGAGTGATTCAGAATGATCGAATTGATAATATAAAGATTCAACATGTATATATTAGAATGAGTAATTAACGAAAAAAATTAACGAATTTTTCGCATAATAATAAATTAATTCAACACGGTGGAATAATAAGTCAAAAATTTGGATCGTTCGCATTTCTTTTTTTTTTTTTTTTTACCCTGATCTCTTTTGGCCTTTTTTTATTTAAAAAAAAAGCCGATGGTCGATACGAACATTAATGCCCGTGTGTATGTTTTATGTGTGTGTGTGAGTGTGTGTGTATTCGTGAATGCATGTTTATGATGTACCACGTTGATTACTCTGTAACGAGAGTATCTTTCGTTCATTCCTACTTTCGGTTTATGTAACATCGACTGCACTCTAAAGAATTATTATTAATATTATTATTAATTTTTTTTTTTTTGTTTGCATTCGTTTTAGGTGTAAGTATTCTACCGTAATAAGTATGTTGTTACGACTCGGCGACTACACCGCGCACGGATTCTTTATTATCAAAGAAGTCATAGACGATAGGTGAAAAAAGTCTTTAGAGGAAAATAGGTATTTTTTTTGTTTTTTGTTTTCTCTTAATAAATTGACAAAGTAGTAGATAGAATCGTATTCTTGTACGTGTATAATAGAATTCGCGATCGAGGGAGACTTTTTTTTTTTTTTTTTTTTTTTTAATTTCTCTTTCGATTCCCTCTCTTGATCGATTCCTATCAAGTGTATGCGTGTATGTATACGTATGTGAAATTTTTCCAGCGTTCGAATGGTGTTAACGCGAAATCCTTTCTGGTTCCTCCTCACGATTCTCCACAAGAAAGAACAGCTCCAATAAGTTGGTTCCATTCGGCCGAATTTTTCTTCGTCAAAGCTGCTTTGTCGTCGAGAAACTTGGAATCGAATCGAATCGAACATTCGCCCTCTTCGTTTCTGCTCTTTTCTCTCTCAAATTGGACTCCGTTTGAAAAAAAAATGGACGAAAAATGGTCAATTCCGTCAGTCCACGTGCGACTATTACCTTCCGAGCCCGCATCTTTCTCTCGTCTCCTCATCCATCTCCTCCTCATCCATATATTGTCGAGTTGATCGTTAAAATCTGGTCACGAGTTTGTACAGCGGCCACCAGGAAAAAAAGAAATTCTTTCTATTATCCTCTCCTTCGCAACTTACGAGACAACTTGTGAAATCCAACGATCCTTTATACATATAAATTCCTTCTTTATTATTTCCTCTAATTAACACCTTATTCATCTTTTCCTCGAAACAAACATCTATTATTAGAGGTTAAACACGAGGAATATGCGAAACTAGCGACCTCTCTTGGCCACCGTCCAACTCATATATACTCTTCATTCCCCCCCCTCTCAGGAGCAATTTATTTCTCCTGTGCCACGTCTCGAACGTGTTCCTCGAACACGTGCTCACAACAAACGTCGCAAACGAACGATCACCAATTTGTACCCCGATATATCGTGATCCCAAAACGTGTCGTGTAAAACGTACCAGTCCACTGGTCCGCGAGAACGCGCTTAAGCTTCTTCAAAGTGGCTCTCCCCGTCTGGTGGCCATCTTGGCAGCCCTGGAAGCCAAAGCGCCCAATGAGCACACAAGACCCGTCAGGGTCTCCCAGAAAGTGGTCCTACGTCTTTTGTGCACTGCCTGACCGACGTACCCCAAATAGTAGCCGGTGTAACGATCGTTTCCACGATCCGAGCCGCTGTCCGATCTGCCTACGCTGGATCGCGCCGACTTCGGTTGTTGCACGATACTTGGACGTTGTTGTTGATGATCCGCCGTTTGATCGACGATACTGTGACACGGTGAACCGTCGCCGTATCGTTGCTGATAGCCCGATTCCGATTCGTACAGCCGTTGCTGGAGCTGCACGTTGCTCAATCGTCGATCCATCATCCGGACAAGGTTCTGGTGGACGCGACGATCATCCTCGTGCACGATAGGCAATTGTCGTCGACAACTGGTGGCGGCTGGCAGCTCGTTTGGTTGGATCTGTTGTTGTTGTTGTTGTTGTTCCACTTGTCAGGCGTATTCGGTGTCTGTCGACGCGGATCTCTCCAGATGAGCTTGATGGCCGCCATGATGCTGTTGATTCTGATGTTGCTGCTGCTGTTGCTGTTGCTGCGCCTGCGTGTAAGCGAGGCTCTTCTGATAGCTGAACAGCTGCCTCTCCAAGCTGTAATTCTCCGCCTGGAGGAGGGAGATCTCCCGTCTCATCTGTTGATTGTGGATGCGGCACACGTCGTCGTACTTGTGGTAGGTCNTGGAACAGCAAGTGGCTCTCGTTCCACTCAAGCCGGATCCTCAATTGCCCTTTGTCGGTCAGGAACGGACAGTGATTTTCTTTCACCTCGTTCGTGTCGAGATTCGTCTCCATTATGATACCTTCGTCCGCGGACTCTTGGGCGTAGTAACGGCTGAACGGGGCCCCCGGCAAGCTGATCGCGGTCATGTTCGCCTCCTCGTCGCGGAGAAGATAGGCTGACCAACTGACGTACCTGGACAATCAGAATTAACACAATTCGTTGCGTTCTCGAATATTTCGAAGAAACGATTTACTTACTTAAACGAGGATACGAGCGAGGAGCGAGGTTCTAAATTATTTCTCGATGGAAATATACGCGGATTATATCGTATCTTTCTTCGAAGGCGAGAAAACACTTGTTATCTTTAAATTAAATTACAGTCGTAAATTAATAAAATTGATCGATCGGTCGTAATGAAAATACACGAGAATTACGTTTTATCTTTCTCGATCGCAAGAAACTCGGCCTCGGTCGGTAAAATTATCCCGATATTACCTTCACGACTCTCCTCCAAACCCTTTCTTTTCTCGTAAAAAATGTTCTCTTTCTTTTCTTTTTTTCACACCAACCTCAAATGATTCCTCGGAACGTTATGGATATCTTTGTAGACCAGGTGCAGTCTGACGGTGTCCGAGTGCAAATCGGCCCTGATCATCCACGCCTGCTTGTCCCGATCGTAGCAAGGGGTCGCGGGCAGGACGGAGGGGCCGCGAGCTTGGACGGCGACCTCGCAAATGGTCCTCGCCTCGACCATCTCGAGGGAAACCCGTACCACGCCTTTGTGCGCCACCTCGGACCACCTCACCCTCGTGTGCCACCCGAAACCGCAACGCTCAGCGTCCGACAGGTCCTCGATCTGGCCTGAATCGATCCTACGATCACCCTCGCCCAACGCGACGCTGTATCTCACCCTGCACCGATGATCGAACCCGCTCATCCTCATCAGATAGACGCTGATCCCGTTCTCGTGGCCCCGGTAACCCTCCAACTCCTTGTTCCCGTGGGGATATATGACCAGGTTCCAATCGAAGCCGCCGAACGCGAAATAATCGGTCTCCAATTTGTTGGGCTTCGATTGGCCCGAGGAGAACGTGCCGCCCGGCATCTTA